TAAATATGATAATTGGCCCAAACCAAAGCAGAGGGTCTAACACTTTGAAGGTTAAGGACTTTTTGTGGCAATTCATTGTCAATAAAAAGATCCTCTCAATCCAAATACCGCATCCCCCACAGCCCTCCCTCAAGACAAACACCATCACCAGCATTTTGTATAACCTTACAAAGACTTTCTGTGTGTGCACAAAGAAAAATGCAGCATATTCCTCTAATAAATACTTGTTAAGCATCTCCTATGTCCCAGACTGTTCTCCGAACTGGACAGTATGGTAGTAAATGATCGCAAAAATCCTTTACCCTTCTTAGATTCCAGTGAGGAGGGACAGGAAGTAACCGTATTAACAAATAGCATATATAATAAATATATCCCAGTATGGGGGCACATGTTAAGGGCACAGTACACAGGTAAGGAACAGGGGAGTGTCTGTGAGCACCTGTCCCTCTGCTGCCTCTCCCAGGCCCAGCACAGCTATTTGATTCCCATCACACACAGGGAAGCCTCCGCTCTGCCCTGACCCCCACCTCACCCACACCCCACCTCCCCAGAGAGACAGCCCCAACCTTTTTCCAGGTTCTAGAAGGAATGCTTCTGGTGCTGGAGGGCTCACCCAGGGTGACTGAACAGGGGTTGGAGCAAGGCTGGGGATGTGTTTACATGATCTAGAAAGTGAAAAGCCAATCCACAGAATAGGAGGAAATAATTAGAAATCATATATCTGATAAGGGAATTGTATCTAGAATGGATTTTTAAACACTCCTACAACTCAAGAATAAAAAGATAAGTTATCCAATAAAAGTGGGCAAAGGAGCTAAAGAGACATTTCTCCAAGAAAGGTACACAGGGAGCCAATAAACACATGAAAAGATGCTCAACACCATGAGCCACCAGGGAAGTGCAAACCCAAACCACGACGAGGTATCACTCACATCCACTAGGGCAGATGGAATCAAAAAGTCAAATAACAACGAGTCTTGGTGACATATGGAGAAATCAGAATCCTCATTTACTGCTAGTGGGAATGTACAATGGTGTAGCTGCTGTGGAAAAAGGTCTGGCACTTCCTCAAGTGAGTAAATATACAGTTACCACATGACCCAGCAATTCCACTCCTAGGGATCTAGAAAAAGAGTTAAGAACAGCTTCAAACACATACTTGTACACAAATGTTCACAACAGCCAAAAGGTGTTAGCCACCCAAGTGTCCATCAACAGATGAATGGATAAACATGGTGTCCATCCTTACACGGGAATATTATTCAGCTTTAAAAGGGAAGGAAATTCTGACACAGGCTACAACATGGATGAACCATGAAAACATTATGAAAGAAGCCAATCGTAAAAGACCACATTCTATATGATTCTATTCATATGAAATACCCCAAAGAAGGAAATCTATAGAGAAAGAAGATAGATTAGTGGCTGCTTAGGGTGGGGGTAGGGGTTGGGGAGATAGCGGGTGACAGGTAAATGGTATAGGGTTTCTTTTTGAGGTAGTGAAGATATTCTAACGATGTCTGTGATGACGGTTGTACAACTCTGTGAATACGAAAAGCCACTAAAGCGTACACTTTAAATGGTGAATTGTATGTTATGTGAGTTACAGTTCAATGAAGCTGTTTTTTAAAAAATACACACTAAACTCTTTAAATAAAAACAAGATATGTGGCTACTGGCTATCATATTGGAGAGCACATGCCTCCGTGAAAAAAAACAACAGAAAAACCACAGCGTGTAGGACACTGAAAATTTCCAGAATTCACTCTGAGAAGTCAGACATGGTAGGAAAAAATGAACTGTGGACTAAAATTAATAGAAGGATCTAATCTTCTAGTTCTGTAAAACCTGGCCAGGGAATCTTGCCATAGAAGGAAACTTCAAAAATATGCAAAGCTAGCTTCGGTGAGTAAGGTGAACCCAGCTAACACAACTGAGGGCTGACTCAACCCTTCCATGTGACCATGAACTTCAGAGCTATTGGCCAGAATGGGGGAGAACAGCCCTTCTCAAACCCTGGGAGCCATTCCGACGACAATCTGGTAGTTTCTATTACAATTTAAAACGTATACGTCAGTGGTCGTTCGGGCTCACAGAAGATCACATGTTGATACACGCAGAGATCTGAAAACCCCACAAGCATCTGGAAATTCTGATGGCTTTCAATGGGCCCAACCAAGTGACATGGGGACTGGCATGGGACCTCTTTTCACAGTATACCATTTGGTACCATACTTTGCCCAAGCTTTCACGGAGAATTTGTTCAATTAGTGACACAAATCACGTAAGTGTTCCATGTAAATCGTGATATTTAAACATGGGACTCCATAAAAATTGTGTCATCAAACTTAATGATCCTGTGATTGTGCACCGCCTCTCTGGACCACTGTCACAGGTGCATACAGGATTCAAGGGCAAGGATGGGTGGTGTGTGTGAAAGTGAGATAGGCTGGGACCCTTTACTGCAGTGCTTGCACTTGCCCTTGGACAAACGTCTTCTCCGGCAACAGGATACAAAGAAACTCTAAGGGACTAAAAGTAACGGCAAACATGCCCAGCGGGGACAATTAAGAACATAAGATAGGAAAAGGCCAAAACACAACTGCCATTTCTGAGGTGCCGAGGAAAAGCAGGGTCCTGTGCATGATCCCGGCACACGGCACCACCGGCAGCGGGGGCAGACCATCTAAGCCACACCTCCGGCCCGACCCAGGTCTGCCCCCATCTCACCCCATTTACGGAACCATCCAACCCCCTCGGAGGGCGAGCAAGGGCACCTGTTGCTTGTTTTCACTCCCTCACAGCGAGTCCCAAAGAGGCCTTTCCTGAATTTCTCCTTTGGCCTCATCAATTTCTATTGATTACAGACTCCGAGGACCTGAGTGGGTAACAAAAGTGAAACATTGAGAAAATAAACCAAAACACCGTCAACAAGAAAATGGTTAAATAAGCCACGGTATATACAAGGCAGATGTAAGGAACTAATTACATCTTTTTGTATAAACTGGTTCTCCACTAAGGGCAATTTTGCTCCCTGGGGGGACCCCCGGCAGTGTCTGGAGACAGTTTTGAACCTCACGACTGACTGCGGAGGGGCTGCTACTGGGATCTGGTGCAAGGAGACCAGGGATGCTGGTCCACACCCTACAGTGCACAGAAAGGACCCTCAAAAAGGAATGATCTGGTCCTGAACATCAGCGGTGCGGAATTTCAGAAACCCTGGTGTATAAAAACTAAATCTCAAAAATAACGTTGAAGGAAAAGAAAGCTGGCGATGAATCCTAACAGTAGGATGCTGTTATGGCAGTTTTTAAAAACACACAAAAAATAACCATGTGTTGCTTAAGGGCACACACGTTTTAAAAAAGTCTATATACACATAAACTACAAGACTACATGTCAAATTAGAAATGGCGACCTCTGGGGAGGGAGGGGGAGAAATATCTGTACTGTTTTACAAATGTGTGCAGCAAATATGGCTAAGTGTTAAAATCTGTATATTGCTTCTGTATATAAAATCTGTGTACACTTCTTTGAATTATTTCATTAACAAGCAAATATGGAAATGGTGTTTTGTTAAGATTAAGGAATTACTTTGGATCTGGAAATCATTTCTCTGTGAAAATTTACCAATAATAGAATAATAACGATATCATGGTATCTAATGAATGTCTACTCCACATCATGCATCACTCACTCTAAACAGGGTTTCTCCATATCTGCACTATTAAATAATTTTAGTTGTAAGTGTGGCCCCATTCAGGGCAGGGTGTTGAGAAGCATCCCTGGCTTCCACCCACTAGATGCCAGTAGCACCCCACCTCCACCCCCCAGGTGGTACAAAAATTTCTCCAGATATTGTCCAGTGTCCCTGGGGGTAAAACTGTCCCAGGGTTGAAAAATCACTGCTCTAGACCGTTCATTTGTTACTAGAGTCTTTTCTCCCAAGTCCAAGGTCGTAAGTGCTGTCATTCTGCCGCCTGCATTTCAGGGGTCTAAGACTTTAATATGAGGAGGACGACCACAATGATGAGCTGACACTAAAAATAATCAACACCTTTTTTTTTTTTTTGGCCAAACCGCTTAGCATGCGGGATCTTAGTTCCCCGACCAGGTACTGAACCCGGGTCCTCGTCGGTGAAAGCTCAGAGTCCTAACCACTGGACCGCCAGGGAATTCAAATAATAGTCCACACTTTACATCCCACACATCACTTGCTAAATGCACGTACCGTTATGTACGTTCGATTTACAGGCTGGAAATAGGCTCTGAGGCTTAGCAACTTGCCTACTACCACCGGAGAGCTGATTAAGGCTTGGGGCCACGACTGGCGCCCAGCTGAGCAGAAGGTCTGACGGGACACGAGTGAGATAGTAAAAATCAGCTGAGAAAGTACCTGCCCTGTCATTCATCATGCTGGGAAGGCGGATGAAGCCAGCTGCAAAATTAGCAGGAAACGTATCCTCCAAGAACACGCTACAGCTGTAAAGTGTCAAAACAACTCCCTTTTGAGCCATTCCCGTCTACCTCGCTGAATACTCTGTCCATTAAAAGCACAGCTTCTGACCGAAGTCCTATCAGAAGGAAGACAACGTCCGTCTCCTGCCTGTCAGGCCTGATTCTCTTAGATACCAAGAATCCGTCTCCATCTCCACCCAGGTGCAGGGCTCAGTTAAGGGGTTTCCGGACATACAATCCACAGGCATCTTATCTTCGCGGTTCCCAAGGAAACAGGGCCTGGGTCCACGTCGCCGTCCTGACCCAACGCTGACCCCTCTGCACGGAGCTCAGTTTTGCTCTGAGCCAATGGAAAACAGGCTGCATTTACATCTCACCTACACCCACCCTTCCCCAACATTCTACAGTGAGTCCGACCCGGGTCTTAAGGACCAGGGGATCAGAAGGTCCCGCGCTAACCAAAACCTCCGGGGCTGAGTCCAGTCCCACCGACCTTCACCCGGGCGGGACCCGGGAATTCGCGCTTTTAATGACTCCGCCCCCTACTCCTGGAACTGCGCCCCGCCCTCTGACCCATTCCCACCGCCGCCCGCCACTCCTCCAGCCTCGGCCGACGAGCACACGCGGGTCCAGCACCTGCGGTGGACACAGGAAAAACCTCCCTCTGCAGAAGCAGGCTGACGCATGTAGGAAAGCGCAACCCCCGGAGCCCGCTCCCCGACCGCCGCTTCCGCTTCCGTCTCCAGGGCTGCTGGGAGCGGAAAAGGGGGCAAGCCTTCGGCTTGGGCCTGGTGGAGCCCCGAGGATGGGCGAGCTAACAGCATCCTCCAATCGCCGAGCAGAGGAAGGCGATATATATATATATATATATTTTTTTTTTTCCCCCCCGCCCCCCCGCGGGACGCGATTGGGCCCAATGTCCGGCCTCACCCCTCTCGGTCATTCCTGAAACCGAAATTAAGTTGTGGGCGCGGTCGAGGAGGGATCCGCCTTCGTGGGCACGGTTATCGCCTAAAGAGGCCCAGGGACGCTGCTGGGGGCGTGGCCTCCCGCTAATCCCTGAACGCCCAGGTTACTCTGATAAGCAATGGCCGCTCCCATAAGCAATAAATGCTTATTTCTCCGAACATGTTCCTCATGCTAACACACCCGTATAAAAAGACATTCCCATTGTTGGAATGTTTCTCCCCTGAAAGTCTTTTATTTCTTGGGGAAATGGGGTCATATTCTATTCATTTCTCTACGTGTTGCTTTTGTTACTAATATATGCCTTGTGGTATCCTATAGTGGCCACTGGATGGCAACCTAGCTCATGTTTTCACTTTTGTACCTATATATGTATTTGTATTGGGTGTACCCGGGAAAAATGCATGGGGATTCCTCAAAAAAAAATGCTCTTTAAGCATCTCTGTATTCCAGACTCTATTGTCTGCACGGGGGAAGACAGCAGTAAACGAACACAAAAATCCTTGCCCTCATCCTTCTTAGATTCCAGTGGGGAGGGACAAAAATTAACCATATAAAGAGCATATATAATAAATATAATGTATCCCAATGTGGACAGGGGAGTGGCTCTGAGCACCTGCTGCTTCTGCTGCCTCCCCAGGGCCCTGCACAGCTGTTTGATTCCACTCACACACAGAGAAGCCTCTACCCTGCCCTAACCGCCCCCTCTCCCCCTTTAGGGACCCATCCCCAGCCTTTTTCCAGGTTCTAGGCAGGATGCTTCTGGTACAGGGAGGGCTGCCAGGGTGACTGAGGTGAGGCTGGGACAGGCATGGGGGCTCTGCGAGCAGTTCCTGGCTGTGAACTGTCATCTCAGGCACTTGGAGAAGTTCAGATGTGCAGTGGATGGTGTCCAGGATGGGCTGCAGCTGGTTTATTTGCATTAAATTAACAGGTTCAATTTTGGGAGAATTGAAAATTCTTATAAGTCTTCTTTTTAAGGGCATGTCTGTCGATTCAGAAATGATAACTTCATCATAATATAGTGTACACATGTCAGTTCAGAGTGAATCATGGAACTGAATGTAATAAATAAAACTCTACATCTGGAAGGAACACAGGAGAAAAATCTTGGGACTTCCCTGGTGGTGCAGTGGTTGGGCCTCCATGCTCCCAATGCAGGGGGCCCAGGTTCCATCCCTGGTCAGGGAACTAGATCCCACATGCATGCCACAACTAAGAGTTCACATGCCACAACTAAGGAGCCCACCTGCCGCAACTAAGACCCAGTGCAACCAAATAAATAAATAAATATTAAAAAAAAATCTTTGTGACCTTGGGTTAGGCAAAGATTTCTTAGCTAGGATACAAAATGTGGCAAATACACACAAAGGAAAGATAAAGTAGGTCAATAAATTTTTAAACATTTGCTCATTGAAAGGCACTATGAAGTAAGTAAGCAGGCAAGCCACAGGAAGAAGATATTTGTGAAACAGACACTGACAAAGTAACTGTATCCACAATATACAAAGAAAGCGTTCAGGGGAGAAAAGTAGAGACCACAAGAGGGCGCCCTTTCACTAGCAAAACCTTCTAGTTGGCTGTTTCAGAACAGCCACTGAAGTATTTCAGGATAAAGGAGATGTTACCGAAACAAACTGGGTCTGCTCACCTGTGGGCAGTAAAGCCAGTTTACTGACCCGGGTTGTGGCGAAGGAAAGGGTAGTGTTTATCGCAGGCGCCAAGCCAGGAGTCCAGGCAGCTAGTGCTCAAAAGCCCTAGACTCACTCCCCAATAGTTTTCAGGGAAAGGGTTTTAAAGACGGGGTGAGGGACGGGGTGATGTGTGTGCGTGATCAGCTGGTGGACGTTCTTCTGATTGGTTGGTGGTGAGGTAATCAGGCGTCAACATCATAAACCTGGTTCCAGTTGGTCTGGGGTCTACGTGCTTGTGGGCATCATGCAGTTTACTTCATCCACCTAGTGTTTTTTTCAGTATCTCCAAAAAAGCTCAAAGGACACGGCTCAGAATATGATCTATAGCCCTTGAGGAGGTACGGAAGGTCCTTGACTTTAATGGCTAAATCATTGCTATTTCTTCTTGCTTGGCTGTTTTACTTTCTTTCTGCATTTTCTCCCTTCTCTGATTGAATTTATTCTTTGGAACTCGAGGAAGGCCTAGGAGGCTAAAGGTTTTTTTACAGACAAGAGGAAGGTGGAGGACATGGTGGGTGGGTTTGTCCTGCAAAGGCCCCATAGGGTCCTGCTTGGTTACAGGGGCACAGAATGCAATTTACAGAGTTAAGGGGGGAAATATGAATAATTTACATATACGTATGTATATATACACAAAGAGAAGATGAAAAAGCCAAAGGGACAAGATATTAACATTGGGGAAAGTGGATGAATAGTATATTCAGGAGTTCTTGGTCTGATCTTGCAACTTTTCTGTAAGCTTGAAATTATATCAAAATAAAAAGTTCCCCCCTCAAACAGTTTCCTAATTTGTACTAGAAAGCATATAGATTGCCAACCAGTGATCAACATCAGTGATCAATTTTAATTGTCTGTGACCATTTGGTTTCATTTGTTTTACTGTATCTCTGGTTTTATTGCTGTGTTTTCCATGAATATAACTGGTAAGATCATCCCTTTAAGGAATTTTATAATAGCTTATTTGTGGTTGAAAACAATGGGTCCCAAATGAAGCTGCTTCTCTGTGTCACCCTTTTTCTTTTTGTTTTTCATCCTGAATTTTAATCTCATGTTTATTTCTGAAAAGCAGATTGGACAGTGACAGGGGAAATTCATTCATTTAGCTCTACACGATCATTGCTTGGAAGCTGCAGCCCATGTACTCTTTTTTTTTTTTTTTTTTTCTCCCTTGCGGTCCGCGGGCCTCTCACTGCCGCGGCCTCACTCGCCGCGGAGCAGAGGCTCCAGACGCGCAGGCCCAGCGGCCACGGCCCACGGGCCCAGCCGCTCCGCGGCACGCGGGATCCTCCCGGACCGGGGCACAAACCCGCGTCCCCTGCACCGGCAGGCGGACTCCCAACCACCGCGCCACCAGGGAAGCCCCCATGTACTCTGTTATTTTTTTTTTTCATGGCCTCTCATGTTATTGGCATTCCCATCATGAAACTATTTTCTTACGTTTCTGTTAGTATGTCTCTCTTTTTTTTTTACCACGCTGCATGGCTTCTGGAAATCTTAGTTCCCCGACCAGAGATTGAACCCACGCCCTCGGCAGTGACTGGGCAGAGTCCTAGCCACCGGACCGCCAGGGAATTCCCAGTATATCTCTTTTTTAATTGAAAATTTTTATTGAGAGAACTGTAGATTCACATGCAGTTGTAAGAAATAATTCAGAGAGATCTCTTCTACATTTTTCCAAGTTTTCCCCAGTAGTAACATTTTTCAAAACTATAGTACAATGTCACAACCAGGATCTTAACATTGATACAATCTATTTTATTCAGGGGTGTGTGTGTGTGTGTTTGTGTGTGTGTGTATTAAGTTCTATACAATTGTAACACCTGGGTGTGTTCATTTATGCACAGTCAAGATACAGAGTATGTTCATCACCACAAGGGTCTCCTGTGTTGCCCTTATAATCACACCCACCTCCCTCCTAGTTTTCCTGCCACCCTAACCCACGAGGAAGGTTTTTTTTTTTTTTAATTTAAAAAGTTACTCATTCTCCTAGGAATCCCCTAACTAGAAGCACCAGGCTTGAGCTCAGAAATCTGCATGTCAACAAAGATGATCCCGGGACTGGGACAGTAATCCTGGAGCATCTAGTTACTCCTGAAAGCCAGGCAGTGCTCAGAATATGATGGGGGCTTGTCACTACAGCCCAGGAGCCAGTTGGAAGGGGCTCCTACTGGCCAAATCTGGGACAATGGGGCCATTAAAACAATTAAGGAGACGAAAGCCAAGGCCCCAAGGGCAAGGCTGGGGGAGTTCTCCAGGGCTCAAACGATCATTTTGCAAGTGTCCCAGCAAAGACTGTTTCAGGCAAGAATCAGCCCAAGCAAAGGCCCTGAGGTAGTGTTCAAGGACTAGCAGGGAGGCCTGTGTGGCTGGAATAAAGGGACTGAAGTCAGAGGGGTGCTAAAGACCTCATGGGGCCTTCAAAACCCACCTGAGGACTTCGGCTTTGACTCTGGGAGACTGAGAGCCCTGGGAGGTGTTTGAGCAGGGGAGGGACAGGATCTGACTCAATGATAGGGATGTTTTCTATCAACAGGGTCCAATATGGCAGCCGCCAACCACATGTGGCTACTGAGCTCCTGTAAGGAGCTGAATTTTAACTGATTGAAGGTTAAAGAGCCACATTTGACTAGTGGTTACCTCACAGGACCCAGCAGCTCTAAGGGAAGGAGAGAGACAAATAAATAAATAGAGAAACAAGATTCACAAAATGTAAGCGCCTAAAAGAAAATAGAAGGTGAACGGGTGAAAGTGAGTCAAGGTTTTGAGCTAAGGTAATCAGGAAGGGCTTCTTGGAGGAAGTGACGTTCACAGTGAGACATGGAAGATAAGAAGTTCCTGCCACCCTAGAGAGAACAGGGAAGGCTGTTTCAGGAAGAGGGCACAGCATGTGCAAAGGTCCTGGGGCAGGACCGGGCCTGGTGTGTTGGAGGAATAGTGAGGAGGCCCGTGTGTCTGGAGCAGTGTGATCGAGGGGGACAGAGGGAGGGGGTGAGGGCAGGAAGGGGACAGCACAGGTCATGCAGGGCCTAGCTGGCCCCGGGGGAGGACTTGGGCTTTCCCCCCCACCAGGGAGGTGGGAGCCCTGGAGGGC